GTCATGCGGGGCGCACTTCAAGCAAGTAGGATTTAAAAAAAAGCTTCCAGGCAGTTCTAATCGTCTTGCCTTAACCAACCCTATTCTGAATAATACTTAAACTTGTACATCCACACGAGGTCGTGCTACAGGTCAGTCTCAAAAAGACTGAATTATCACATACTGTCGTATGTCCTTCAAGTCGTTTAATGCAGCTTAGGAGCAGGAGCGCTTTTCGTGACTTGCCCTGTCTTTAGAATAGCATGGGAAAATGATACAACTGTCTTAGAGACCAGGACTTCTTCAGTATGAAATGTTGGAAGATGTCCTTGTGGTGACATTAGCGACTACTTCTTTTAGGTTTCGTGGCTTCCCCCATAATGAGAGCTTAATTGAGTAAAGCAGACTTGCTCAACCAGTATTTTACCGATGGTTTTTTCGAAGGAGTAGATGACTTCTGGAACTTTTTTAAAGTGCATGCTATGTACTTTTACTAAGGAAGCTGTGTGCATCCCCTCACGTATTTGCAATGAGGCCTCTGACGGACATAAAATACTACGGTCGCTGCAGAGGGCGTTGTATACTTGGTGTGCAGAATTAGCAGATTCTAAGTTGATTAATCTGGCTAACGTCTGAGCATAATTACAAAAGTCTAGACCGAAATTCTGCATGTCTTCACCCGCAAACTTTGCGTAGGGCGAAATTTTGTTATAACATAGTTGCATTCTTTCGGCCGCCGAAAAACTGCAGTGGTGCTTGTGCTTTACGCCGATGAATCGACGCATGCTCAAGCATAGGCACTGAAAGCTACAGCCAATTTCGTTCCATTAAGTGGTAGTCCCTTATGGCGCGATGTCCTGGTAGAGGTAGGGAAGTTGTCTTAAGACGTCATTTTTGATGGCAGGGGCGACTCCGACGTCTCATCACTGTTTTTTGGACGTTCGCTTAAAGAGGTGTATCCGTCATCCACCAAGTGTTGCTGTTCGGTGAGGCTAGTCTTACTGAGAGCCGAAGTTCTGAGGCGACCAGCGATATCCTCTGCTCTGGTCAGTTTACGGTGGAGTGGTCTGAAGTCGAAAGAGCAGTTCAGGCAGGCAGAATGAGCATCGTCTTCGTGGAAGCCCATGGGGGCGGATGGGTGTTGCTGTTTTGAATGGTGTTTCGACCACATTATCTAGCTCCTGTGAATGGGTAAGCGGCGTGTTCCGAGTTATCGGGTGATCCCAGATAGCTTCCAAACTCACTACTGCGCAAAGTGGGAAAACGAGTGGAAGTAACCTGTGCTATCAATGGGAGTTCATGTCGCCTTCTCTGTAGGACTTATTATGTGAGCATTGGGTGGAGGGAGGATAAGAAAAAGTTCAGGGAAAACCGGGTGAGAAGATACACACGCCGGGTATCTGATTTATGTCATCTGTCAGTAAGCGTTGCCTTAGTGTGGCCGCCGTGGTGAACGCGGTCTCATGGAGGCACAGCTGGGGTTGGATGCCGAGGAGGGGCAAAGAATTATCTAACGGGTTTACTGACACCTTTGGCGGGACCTTCGGTATATTTGTGATGAGTACTTCCTACCACCGTCGTTCTTGCATTACTAGGCGTGGATGACGTCGTTTATGTCACATCTTCCTGCGTAGCTCTTGCCGACCGAGTGTCCTCGTCAGTGTAAAGTTTGAAGTCCAGCCAACCTCATCGACAATCCTTTGACCGTACGACTAAGACCTGGGGTCACTGCCCACGGCATCTCACTCCACTTGAACTGTTTTACCACCCTCTTGGAATTCAGCGGACACCTTTTACCAAAGGCAGCTGTGTGTGCACAATGGTTTTGAGAAAACCTTAGTCGGGCCTGTACAATTTGGTGCGGGGCTAAACTAACGTAGGTTGATACCAACGATCACTGCAAACGTACCTTCACTGATCCGTGCTCAATAAGCCGCTGAATATAAGGTTTTTGCGGATCTAACATCACGCTTGGTGGTAGACCAGTGGGGAGATAAAATGGCCTAACATAGGATGAAATTTTGATGTTTCATGTCGTGGCAAGTTGTTGATTTCGCCTCATCCTCCTCCTCCTCTTCATTCTCGGCTCTCGTAATGCATCTCCTAGCATAAGTCGATTGCCACGTCTCACTTTCCGCTCAATTTTTAAAAGTGCGAAATGCTAGAATGTCTGTTCGAAGAAGGAAGGACGATCACCGGATCAAATTA